GATAAACCTCTGACAAGGCCTCTCGGGCAAAATCCAGCGGGACCACCCCTCAGCTCCATCTCCCTACAGCTGCCCCCTCTCGTTCTTTTTAATCCAGATCCATCTGGGTGCTGCCTCTGCTTGCTTATTGACCTCAGCCACTGGCTCTGCCCTCTGTCCTTCCCAGGGTACTGTCAATTCATTGAGGGCTCCCTGCTTTGTGCCTCTAGACCTCAGGACGATGTCTGGCCGAAGTCTGGTGCTCATTATCTCCTCTGCCTCTTATGGTCAGCCCACACTTCCCTGTCGTTCACTGTTGCAAGGTGCCCTTGGCCTACGCTGCCTTTCTGAAGTGGGTGAAACAAGGGCTCTGGTTTCCTCTCTGCCGTCTCTAGTCCAGTTACCGGCTGTGTCAGTATGTGGCCATGTTGCAGCTTCAGAGCCAGGACAGGGAAAACAGACCCGGACCACAGCAAGTGGTAGGTCTTGGAGGGTCTCTCTTATCGTGCAAATCCGGCCACAACAATCACTTGCACAGGGAAATGGTTAAAAACAGACAATCATCCTTTTAAGAATGTTAACGTCTTTGTAGGGGTTTATTGCTAGTGTTGGAGTGTGTACTCATTGTAAGATGTGTTGTATACAGCGTTATTTGTTCAAATGAAATCTGCTCATGTCGCCGCCTGACTCTCCCCTCTGACAGACCTGCTCGGCAGGAGGAGAGAGCACGTGCTCCGGGCTGGCTGGCCTGCTGCCCTCGCACGGGGGGCTTGGTCAATGTGGGCAGAGCACAAACTGAGCAAAGCAGAAGTTTGACCCGTTGCTCTCCCATGTAGCCAGGTCAGTGGTCTCTCACTTACACCTTCCACGTGTCCAGCTACCCTGCTTCTTCACTGCCTGCTGCCCCCTGCCAGCTCTCCTCCTCAGCCTGCCTAACCTCCCTCCGCACCACTGCGTTCACCCGGTGCTTGTTTTGGGCCAGGAATTCAGAAAACTACGTCAGACATTAAAAACAGATAGTAGTTCAGCAGCTATCTGCGTCAGCATGCGTAGGCTGCAAAGGAACCAGTAAAGGTTTATTCCCGGGTGTGACATCCTCCTGAAGAAGGCTCCACAGCCGAAACGTTGTGTTTCTTTTCTCCTCTTTTCAGCAGGGAATACACCTCTACTGGGTCCGTTAAAAACAGATGTTACTGAGCTTTGTCTTACTGGGAATTGTCATCGCACGGTGTTCTTCTGTGCTCTTGGCTTTAGGAGACCCAGGATCATCTGCAATGAAAAAAAAGATAAACGGCCCGACTGATTATGAATGTAGCAGACATGCCTCTCGAACTACCGCCAGAGGCGAGGCAGTTAATTAGGCTGTCAGTAAATTAACAAGCGACTGACTGCAGCAAAGTCGATGAGAACAGCGCCTCAGCTTGATGTCTCTTCTGAAGTGCAGAGGGCCAGCAGGTTTTGAGACTGGCTCTCTGCATGGCACTGAGCGCGAACGGGGGCTCGAACCCAGGACCTCTGCGCAAGAGGTCAGCACAGGGGGCACGTGTTCCTGTACTGAAACCCCACCTACCACCCCACGCAATCTCATGAGCCATGATGGTGACTTTGGCAGGAGGAGCCCCGAAAAAACTACAATAA